AAATATTTCCCAGAGACTTCATGTGACCTCCACTGCTATAGCTGACATGTTAGGCTTTCCAATGAAATCCTTGGTGTGTTTGCAATTTAAATGTTTTTATTTGATATTAATGATGATAAGCTTGACTAAGGCCAAAGCCAAAACAAACAGGGCTGTGGAAGCAGAAAATCAAGATGTTAATAACTTGGTAAAGATAAGCAATTTGAGATTAAAACTGAGCCTCTTTCCAGAGGCAGGCATGAAGTTATCAAGTATAAAATAACGAGTGACTTTCTCTTTCATGTTACTATAGAAATAAATTGTAGAATGTCAAATGTCAGCTTTCTGAAACTAACTTTAATCATCACACCTGGATCATTGAGTTTCAAGCCTGAACGTAGTGGAAATCCACTTATGTCTAACGGACTCTTTCATATGTTTTTAGGGTGGAGGTGTGGTACTAAAATTCAGTGTTCCCAAGTCCTCTTGAGACTGGCAGAGAAGTCTTGGGCTGCTAAAGTGACCTCTACCCCTATTAAGACATTTCTTAACTCAAAGTTAGAATTTACCCATCCGTGCTTTTCTCTTAGTAATATTTTATCCCTTTTATTCATCTCAAAACCTTCCTCCTTATCTGGAAAAAGTATTTTTAAAAAATTTTAGTTTAAACTTTGAATATCTCATTTCCTACTCTAATGCATTAGTAAATTAGCAATAACGTGGCATTTCCTCAAAGAGCTAAGCCATCAAGACATTTCTCCAACAGACTCCTCCAGTCACTCCCTTGAAGTCAGAAGAAGTGTTGCAAAAGATGACCTCCTTCCTAGAGGTTTCATTCTGAAAAAGCAATTTTTTGCAAGCCTAGTTCAGAGTCAGCCTGTGAGACGGAATGCCTATGCCATGTGCTGGAACAAAGATAATGCTGCAAGGACTGGCTACTTTCTCTACTCTCAAGGCTGCTAAAAGTCCTTACTTAGGCCTTTGATCTCTCCTGGGAGTCTTCGAATTCAAGCAGAGGCCAATGTCTTCCTCAGCTGTTTTCTCCACAGATTCTTCCAGCAGCTTTGGCAGGTACTAATGTGTTTACTTAGGTGTGCCTGGTTCCCAGAGCTAACAGCGGTTTGAAATTGTTTAGCACGTTGTTACGTCAGATATAATAAGCAAAAATTTCAAGAACAACTCCCTTGGTCCAGGAGTTGATAAGGGTCTCAGGTAGGGGCAGAAATGAATTGAAATGAACTTATCTTCCTATGTATATTTGATTTCTCCTGCTAAGAGAAGCATGGAGAATTTTCAGTTGTGCAGAATTCCTAGGGTGGGCAAATTTTACTAAAAAAGGAAGCTCTAAGCATCATTTTGCTGGTGTGGTCTGTCCATCAACACTAGGATCATTGCCATAATGGTTAAACTAAAATACGTTCTCTTTAAAAAAAAAAAAAAACTTGTTGATTACTTAAAGGTCTTTGCAATTAATACCTGCTTACAAGTCTAAACTGTAAGAAAATTAAGCATGTGTTTATTTTTATTCAGAATGTAAAATGACACAAAAACTTAAAAGCATTGTATCTATTGATACTCCACCAGAACCTTGGTGGGCATTCATTTATAACACCCAGCTGGGCTGAGTTTTCCTCCCATCATCTGACTACTGTGATACTCTCCTAGCAGACAGTCAGTGTTGGAATATCATTTCTAACAACCCGTTTACATATTAGACAATCGTGAGTTTTCTCTGCATGGAAGACATCCACTTCTCTGGAGAAATAGTGGAAAACAGTATTTTCACTCTTTTCTATGAGAAGCAAAAGCCAATCTGGTCTGATTTTGAGAAGAAGAGGCCACCCAGATGAGCACTGTAAACGACCTTTTTTAAAAAAAAGTAAATTTTAACTGTTTTCATACTTCTCTGTTCAATTTTCCCACTCAAAATTCTTTTTCCTCTGTCTCGTTCACTCAGTTTCGCAATTTTCCCCTCCCACGGTCTTTCCTGGGAAAAGAGCAGGGGAGTCTCTCCCGAATTAGGGGAGCCCAGCCATCTTTGAGGCGCTGGCTTCCTGCCTTCTTTGTATCCTGCCTCCCATTTTTTGATCTCTTTCTCCTCTCGTCCCTGACAGAGGTCTAAAAGTTTTGTCTCTTTTTTTAACTTTGGTGCTCTGAGATCCTATTTTCAGCACTTGGGTCCCAAGGGTCCTCAACCCTGGACCCAGTTTCCCCCCTAGCAAGTCCCATTAAGCCGCCGGGCGCTTGTGTTTTCTCGGCTTCTTTAGTTCCACTCACCCGCGGCACTCTGGTAAATTTGTTTGAGATCACCTTACCAAAGACAGCCCTAACCTCTGAGAACCACCGTTCCTGACAGAGCCTCCTGAGTGACAGCGTCTTCCCAGCCTGGGAGCCGAGGGAAAGCTGTTGGGGACCGGCGTTTGCGAGTTTCTGCTCTGGAGCGTTAAGGACGCGCACTGAGAACAAACTGATTCAAGAAAAAAAAAAACGAAATTCACCTCTAGGAGCACAAGCTCTCCACGGGGACGCCTAGTTTCCAATTCTGTGTGACCAGGGGCAAATGACTTACTCCCTGAGCTTGGTTACCTTCTTTTAATAATGGGTCCACTTACAGTTGCCACTAAATTGTTGTAAGTCATAAACGAGTGAATACATGGAAAGGGTTGGGAACAGTGCTTGGCAAATAGAAAATTCTTAGTAATTGTTTGCTCCACACATGCAACGCTGAGCAGTTTGGGTACGAAGCACATGAGGTGCCTGGTGGAAAGAAATCAGCTGAAAGGCAAGATAACTTCTATATTCCACTTAAAGTTTGTGCCCAAATCTTAAATCTGCACACGACACAGTTTTAGCTTCAACCAGTGTGTGAACTTCTGGACTCTCTAGGCAAAGAAAATGGTACTATTGCTGCTGACCAGAACCTGTGGGACTTGGCTGAGAATTCCCAGATGAGAATATCTACCCACTACTGTGTTTCAGAGGTAGCAATGTGCATAGTTTGGAATGTTTCCACCCGCCTGGATGAGTCCTTTAGGAACTTAATTCTTTTATCTAGTGTAGCCCTGGGTACCTATTCATTTCAAAGGCAGCCACTTGTTAATAGTCCTAAATAAGGTACAGATGAATTTCCCACAGGCCTACTAAGCAGCCCGTTGGTATGAAAGGGCCTGATTTTCGAGGGTGGATGGTGATGGTGGTGGTGGTAGTGTCTTTGTCTTAGAGATGACAGAACTTGGAAGAGAGGACTGCAGCGGCGATGTCTGTAGCAAACCTTGGTGACTGACACTCTCCCACCTCTGGTTTCTGGGACCTTCACTTTGGAGTACAGATTTCACCTGAAAAAGTTAATACTTCTCTGGCTCCTGCAGACAGGGATCTGCCTGCCAGGATTGCTTTTGGAAACTAATTTTAGGAAAAAGTAATAGAAAAGAAAGCTCCCCCAGCCCCCAATACGTTCGGAGTCACAACAGTTACTGACAGTTATGACCCAAGATCAAGGTGAGAACTCTCTCTCCTCTTTGAATGAGGCTACAAGGCCTGACCCCAAACCTCAGAATACTTTACTTGGTTTAGGCCTGAAGTAAGAGCTTTTCCCATATATAAACAGCAAGCCCCCCACCAACCCCCCACAAGTGATTTGGTAGTGGGTTAAGTAAGGGTGGAGGAGGATTGACAAAAGCTGATTGATAGGTTCATTGTCACTTAAATGGAAGCCCTCCCCTCTCGCCTTCTAGCCACCAAAGTTTCAAAGACCCTGCTGTGATTGCTTTTCTCGAAGGCTTTTGTCGCCAAAGTGTGTGAAGTTTCTCGGATTGGAGGAGTTGGAAATTTTACACGAGCCAAGAAGGATTGCTGTGCCGGCAGCTGGGACGCATCTGTAACGGTGTTAGTTTGCCTGAAAGCAGAAAATTAGCGACCCCAAAGCCCTGCTTGGCTGTTTAGTCTGTAGAAACGACAGGGCGGAGCAGAAAGAGAGGGAGAAGGGAGACGCACCCCTGGAAAGAAGTTCGCCATCTAAAACTGAGTTTCTTAGAATACACATCTTAAGAGGCGCAGTCAGTGCGTATCTTCTGCCGGCTCAGGGCCCATCAAAGGTCTGGTGCAAAAGAGGAGGTGCTCGGCAAACATGCGCATACGCGGGAAAGAGAGGAAGGGAGGTGTGTTCCTGGCCACCTGGCCCTCCTGTGCCCACGCCTTTTGGATGAACATAGAGAGAGAACTCAGAGCGGGCTCTGTCTTGGGGAAAAGGAACCTTCCCCTCCCCGCTTACCCCCAATAACACAGAGCCTACAAAATGGCAATATGATGAGAAACAAAACAGATTTTAAAAAAAAATCTAGATCCACTCCATTATTGAAAGTGCCACTTCAAGCTTTTAGCAACCGATATTTGGCCTACTGGCTGAAAAAATGCCTGACACAACTAAAGTTCATGAAAAAGAGAAACATCTGAAAATAAAGTGATCCCTCATGTCCTGGACTGGGAAGGCAGGTCCGCTTTGGTGTCAGCTGAAGTAGGGAGTTCTATTTACTAATTATCTTTTTTTAATGTGACAGCAATGGTACAAAGTTGGATTTCCTTCGTTCCTTTTGTCTGTGACACCCTTTAAGTGTCCCTCGGTTTAGGTAGTCTAGAGTGTTTAAGTAAGTGTGTTGGGGAGCCATCCATCACCCCCGCCCCAGCAGAAATGTAGTAAAACCATTAGCGTCAAAAGGGGCAGTAAACAGCAAGTTGTCTCTAGAGGAAAGGCGGAGGTTTGCCCAGACAGCCCCGGCGGGGGTTGCGGTGGGATATGCTAATAGTGCGGGGCTACTGGGGCCGGCCTCCCTTCCCCAAGAATATATAAAGAGCCTCAACCCCAGCGCGGCTGACCCAGGCCGCCAGGCGTCTGCCCTTGTTAATTACCGGAGAAACCGACCAGGGAGCTCCGCCCGGGACTCGCCTGCCCGCCGCGGCGCCAGGCTCCGGTTTCTCCCCTATCTCGCTGCTGCCCAGGTGCACCTCCTTCCTCTCCGCAGAAGATGGACATGATGGATGGCTGCCAGTTCTCGCCTTCTGAGTACTTCTACGATGGCTCCTGCATCCCGTCCCCCGAGGGCGAGTTCGGGGACGAGTTTGAGCCGCGAGTGGCTGCTTTCGGGGCGCACAAAGCAGACCTGCAGGGCTCAGACGAGGACGAGCACGTGCGAGCACCTACGGGCCACCACCAGGCCGGCCACTGCCTCATGTGGGCCTGCAAAGCATGCAAGAGGAAGTCCACCACCATGGATCGGAGGAAGGCGGCCACCATGCGTGAGCGGAGACGCCTGAAGAAGGTCAACCAGGCTTTCGAGACGCTCAAGCGGTGCACCACGACCAACCCCAGCCAGAGGCTGCCCAAGGTGGAGATCCTCAGGAGCCTGCCGGGGCAGAGCTGCTCTGAGCCCACCAGCCCCACCTCCAGCTGCTCTGACGGCATGGTAAGAGAGAGCTCTGCACCTACTAGGCCCTTCCAATCTTTTACAAAAACCTTTACATCTCATTTAGGCCAGGTGTAGCGACCAAACAGCCAGTAGTTATTGGTGGATAGTTGGGGGTGGGAATGGGGAGGCAGTTGCTGAAAGAGAACAGAGGTGCCGCACTTAGACAGATGCCAGGAAACAGGTAGTTGAGGACCAGGAGTTTAGTTTGACTTCCTACCAAGTTCTAAGTGTACATCTTAGGAAGAGGTTGTCACGTGAGATAGGTGGCTGTGAATGATCAATCAGATGTTTTATCTACAACTCAGTTTATTTCCGATATATACCACCAGTGGCCCCTGCCATACACTAACATCTAAAGGCAACTGTGTGAGGCTTCCACTGTCCCGCAGTTTGTAACTTAAGAAAGAAATGCCCGCGTGGCCCGAGTCCCTGCTCTGCTGAGGCCTGGCTGGAAGATCTTGATGCATTCTTTACAGAGGGCGTTTGCGCCAACGCTGCCAGGTTTTAATGTGTTTTTGCCCTGGGAAAGCGCTCTCTCTCTGAATTAGTGTGGCTTCCTTCTACTCCAATCCATTTTGCATGGTTAACCCAAGGCACATAGCTGCTGAATTCCACCCGCCCTCTTCCTTTTGCTGCCTCTGTCCTCCTCTCCAAGCACAGAGATTGACCTCAGTGCCCTTGCAATTTGGTGAGGCGATAGCCCTTCCTAAATCAAGGCAACGAAGGTATTTGAGAGCGGTCAGTTTATGGAGCTGGTGGGCAAGCACTGCCTCACCCTAGGTCAGAGCATCTTTTGCCAAGACCTGAAAACAAATGCCTTCTTTTGTGTCTTTTATTATAGCCCGAATGTAACAGCCCTGTCTGGTCCAGAAAAAGCAGCAGTTTTGACAGCGTCTACTGTCCTGATGTACCAAATGGTAAGAATTGATGACTTCAGAGGAGTTTAAAAACCAGTTCAACTTCACAATCCAGCCTATCAAAGCAGAGTCTGTTCTTCCATGTGGTATTGGGAAGAGGACAGGATGGTATTTATGGCGTTTTGGGACAGAGCAAAATAAACACACATCTTCTGCTCAAAATCCTCCTAACAGATACATCCATGCACACACACAGACACAGGAGCTTTTGCTTGAAATATTACCCGGGTGCTTCTCCACTCCCCACCTTCATCCCCATGAATTGCTAGATATTTGTTGCAAATTTCTACATCAGGCTTTCTGTGACCACCTGACCTCTGGGTTTCAAAGGAGCTGACCTGCTGCTTAAGGGGCAACATAAGCAAGGATTTTTTTTAATGGTTTTCTCTTTGTATCCTTAGTATATGCCACGGATAAAAGCTCCTTATCCAGCTTGGACTGCTTATCCAGCATAGTGGATCGGTTCACCAACTCAGAGCAACCTGGATTGCCTCTCCAGTACCCAGCCTCTCTCTCCCCAGTTGCCAGCACCGATTCTCAGCCTGCAACTCAAGGGGCCTCTAATTCCAGGCTCATCTATCATGTGCTATGAACTAAAAATCTAGTCTAGATCAGTTCTGCCAGGAGGGCCTATGACACAGGAGGAAAGAGGCCCAAAAAGTCCAAAAGCAAGACAACCTGTAAATAAACATTTCCTTTCAGTTGTAAATTTGTAAATATTATCTTGCCACTTTATAAGAAAGTGTATTTAACTAAAAAGTCACTATTGCAATTAATACTTTCTTTTCTTCTTTTCCTTTGTCTTGCTTTAGATATATAGTTGCAGAGATACTATTTCTTATAGGGGGCAGTTCATCAAAGGTAGCTTGTTGCAATGCTTAACTTATATTTTTTATAAATATTGCTTATCAAAATATTACATCTGATGTTTAGAGCTTTATTTTTTTCTTTAAAACTTTAGAATAGCTGTAAATCAGTTATAGGGAGTTTTATATATATTTACCTTTTTTGCTTGTCTCTTTAATCCTTTGATTATATTGTGTAAAATAAAAATATAACAATACTGCCTGATGGTATATATTTTGATCTTATAAGAAATGCATCTTTTTAATGTAAGCACAAAATAGTATTTTGTGGATGATTTCAAGATATAAGAGATTTTGGAAATTCCACCACAAATAAAATTGTTTAAATGAAGGAACATTTTGGTTTATGATTTTGGTGAAAGAACCCCCTAATGGAGTTGGCAGTCATTGATATGATATTTTTAAGGTGGGGCTGAAAATGCTGAAACAGTTGGTTTTGTAGATAAATCTGAATATTTATCATCTCATGGACTCACCTTAGGTCCTGTTGGTGTCACAGATGAAAATACCACATTTCTATTTTAAGCATACTTCAAGGGAGCCTACTAACTAAAATTTTTCTTTTATCTTAATGTTGCACCATATAATGTCAAACTATGTGTGTATGTGGGGGAAAGACAGAAGGTATTCAGGACAATAAAATATTTTTAAACAAAAAGAATGTACAACATTACATCATTTTAATATCTACAGTACATTAGAAATCATGAGTTAGGTCATATTTATCTACTTGCCTGAAAACATCTTGATACATTAGTATATTAATATTGTCAATAAAATATTTAAAGGTATTGAGCGTTTTTTTGTATTATTAAAGTGCTGGCATAAGAAAATTTACACAAACCATAGTAAAGTGAAGCAGACTCCAACTGCCCTCCTCCTTTTCACAGCCTTTTTGATTTTATTAATCATATGTTACGCTTCTGTGTTGTATGTGCGTGATGGACATGTGTCTTTTATTGTTCATCATTTAAATCTCCTTTAGAATGAATTGAGATGAAAACAGAACAAGTAAGTGGAAAATGAGGTAGCCAATCATTGGAATAATTCTCACAAGGTTACCACTGAGAGAGATAAAAAGGGAAATATCCTTGAAGCATCTAAATTGGCTGTTCATAGAGAGCAAATAAAGATAATGATCTTCTCTTCTAATTTGTAAATTAGTTCAAAATTTCTAAGGGTTTGTAGTTACGTATATTCACCAGGCAAAGCATATGGACTCTTTGCTGGAGCTTGGCAATTGTACTGTTCTTAGGAAGGTTTCCCCTTCTTTTCTTTTGCTTGTCCAGTCACCAGGCTTAAAAGGATAGATATTATTCCATAAAGGAAAGGAAAGAAGAGGGGGTGGGTTCAAAAAATATTGTAGCCACTGTCACTCTGTTAGCATCATGCCCTGATATGGGATGCTGACTTTACTACACAGGTAAGTCTTTCTCTATCCATGATTTGACAGTGTGAGGATTTGAAGTGAAAAGAATTCAGGAGGGCATTATAAAGACTCACATATAATTTCAACTTCAGTTTGAGCGATTCACTTTTGTTAGACACTGTCTCCTTCTACTTCTATGAAGAAGTGGGAAATTTGTTGTTGCTCTTAGTAGAATAAAAAGAACTATCCAAAGACTGTTTTTTAAAGTTCAATTTTAAAACACATTACCATATTCTGTTCCATTTAATAAAAGTAAGCAGAGAATACAATGTAATTTTTAACTCAAGTGAATAAAAATTAATTTTATTTCCAAACTTCAGTTACTTCTATACTTGCAAATGTATTTGATATTCTCAGTTAATATTATAATGCCTCAAAGTATTTAGTTAAGAGTTTTTCAATGCTCTGGATTTAATACAGATGGTGATAAATGTATGATTTAATACAATACTCTCCATGACAGCTTGCTTGGATTAATCTCATTTCCAATGGACTAACAGTGAAGGCTGGTGTCTACTCAGTAAACAGCTCAGCACAACACATCACATGCAGTCATATATACTTTTCTGACAAGGGCCTTTGGGAGTTGGTTGCAGTAATCCAGACCCATTCCCTTCTGCAAGAAAGTAGGGGAGAAGAGGGGGGGAAAGAG